TCAGGAGGAAGTGTTGTTGTTGTTGTGGTAGTGGTGGTGGTGGTTGATTCACTCTCTGCAGGTGTAGTGTCATTCTCAGCATTTTCAGTTTCAGATGCTTGTGTCCCCTCATTTGCCTGTGAAGATGCGGAAGGAGGTTCAGTAGATGGTGTAGGAGAAGATTGTGAGTCTGCACCTTCTTGTGTAGATGCAGGTACAGTGGTAGTATTCTCACTTGGAGCATTTTGTTCATTCTGATTGGGTGTTGGTGAGCTGTCACCACTCGAACTGGATCCTGGAGAAGAAGAATGAGTTTCTCCTCTCGGTGTACCATTGCTTCCTTCACCGGTACGGGTATTTCCCTTCACACCACCATCACCAGTACCAGCAACACCTGTTTCACCAGGAATAGGTTCAGTAGCAGGTTGAGTAGGAGGAGACTGTGCAGTATTACGTTGAAGTTCTGGTGTACCTCCGACCATTGTTTGGGTTTCTGGAAGACCCTGAGCAGTAGGTTCTCGATCACTTGCCACTCCTTTGGGTATTTCTTGAGTTGAAGTTTCTTGCCCTTTACTTTGAGGAGTATCAGGATGGCCACTCCCTCCACTACCACCACCACTTCCAACTCCTGCACCAACACTTCCAGGTACAGGACCAACACCTTCAGGTTGAGTTAAAACAGCTTCAGTTTCAGTACCAGCAGCCAACACGAAACTGCAAGTACAATACAGTGCAATAAGCATAACACAGAACAGGTTGCGCATCATCATCACAATTACAATAATTGTTGTTGCTGTCTCACTTTATTTCTCCGCAAAAAAGAAGAAGCAATAAAAAAGAAATAACAGAAAATAACAGCAGATCCTCTGAATACAACAGAGATACCACAGAATAGCAAAAACATCAACGACAAAAAAGTAGTATATTGAATATATATTTGCAGACCAAAAGCTGTAAAAACAAAAAAGTCGATAACACAAAAAAATAAAATCCCCAGACATCTTGCCCATAAGCATGAATATACCATTGGAGTGCCTTCTTCTCAAGCATGATGGCCTCCAATCGGTCTTCCTCTGCAGCTGTCTGCC